ATTATTTCTCACCACATGTTTTGATGGCAATAAAAGATGTCCACTTTCTAAAAATGTAACAAAACTTAGGATTTCCAAGTAAGCCAGCAAATATGCCCCTGTTAGCTTCGATGCCAGTATTATAGAATTTGACTTTAATTTTGCTTAACAGTAATAAAAGCTTATCACGCAGCCAAATCCCTACAGCAATGTGCTCAAAAGTTCTGCATGTGGAAGCCTGCTGCCTTTCAGCTTCCCCGTTAAACACCTGTTCTGGGCTTGGGCCATGCTTCTGGTTTCGCACTCAGGTGGAGAGTCTTGCTTAAGGGGACAGGCAGGTATTTTTGCTGTCACCAAAGACAGCTAATTTGGGAAGCCTAATCTTGCAAAGGAGCCAAGTTTCAGTTCTCAGAGTGTTGGGTTTAGGGTAGAAGGGACCCCGCCCAGAAATGCAACCTGAATACTTCCCCCTTTGCCCCTCTCTTGTCTTTGCTGAGAATCCCCTAAATAACTGACACGTTTTATAGATTTCAGGCAACTGGGTCTATGGTGTGTTTCTCCCATTCCTTCCTGTCACCTGACTAATTTAATACTTTCCGCCTCAGATGGATATAGCACTCCTGACAAGCAGTCGCCCTGTGGTTTATTTCAGTTAATTCCAACACAATAATAAGTTGAGAAATTAGTTATGGGGATTGAAGGAAGGAGGAATTTTACAGGTGTGAATTCTTAGCCATTTCTGATCCAAATATTTCCAGAGGAATCCTATGCTAAGCAAATACCATATCCCTCCTTTCAAGACCCATGCATCTCTTAATGGAAAAGGATGTATTTTATAGGCAATAGTTTTGCAATTTTTTTAACCCTAAGAATTAATTTTCACTTGTCCTCCTTTCAAAAGCATTACACTAGAATGAAAACCAAGTTTCATTCAGTAGTTTTTCAGACAATAAGGATTGGTGATGCCAGTCAGTGATTGCCTTTCAAAATTGTGACTTAGAATGCACAGCAGTGCAAGTAGCTACTGATCATCTTAATGCTGGTCAGAAATGAAAGTAGCTACTCTCTGTCCCAAAGCATTCTGATTTTAGAATGAGGAGTTCTGTGCTTAGAATATTAGCTTGGAGTATTTTGTCACTAAGGTTTTGGACAAAAAGCAAGTAATTTCTCAAGCACCTGCTTACTTGATCATAATCACTATTTCACAAATGAGGAGATTAGGGGTCAAAAAGTTACACATGATTTTTATAGTTCCAAAGAAATTCTGATGAAGGATTAGCTTTGAGAACAATTACAATTGACAGCATGGGTGGACTCTGGATATTCATTTATTCAACCAATACATATTGAGCACCTACTGTGTTCCAGGAACTCAGGATTATCAGTGCACAAAAAGCTCCCTGCCTTCATAGAGCCTACATTCTAGTGGTTTCCAGAAATAATGTCCATATGTTTTGGTTAAGTATATATCTATTACATACTTCACTATGTGTTTTGATTCTACTCTTCTGGAAAAAAAGAATCAATACACCTAAAATTAAAAGAAAACATTCACAATCCAGTAAATACACATGAGCATGTTTATAGGAAGTGGAGTAAAACTAGAATGATGAGACCTTCCTAAGATTAATCAGGAAAAGCCACTGGGCTTAGCAAGCTTTGAACCTCCATTTTAAAAAAGTGATGGCTATTGAAATGTGAGAGAAAGAGACAAAATGTCCCAGGTAGGGGACACAAAAAGAAGGACACATAGATTGAAAAGACAATGTGAGTCCAAGAGACAAAGGAACTAATTACAGATAAGGCCAGAATTCAAAAACAACTTGTGGAACTTTATATTACTCCTTTTCTTTTTACTTTTTATTTAATATCAAAATATTACACGGGTACAAGCATTGAGATTATATATATTGCCTTTGCATCACCCGAGTCAGAGCTATTAATGCAAGCGTGTCCATCCCCAGATAGTGCGTGCCACACTATTATGTGTGAATTTACCCATCTCCTCCTTCCCCATCCCCCCTGCCCAACACCAGATGAATGTTACTTACACGTGTGCACATAACTTACACCTTTTCTTTAAGAAGAATTAATAGAAACTTTGCATAATATATTAACATATTATAAGATGGCATATAGGAAGGCTTTTATATAATGGCATATATTGGGTGACATTTTGAGGAAGAATTGTGTTTGTCAAAAGAGCATCCATGGGCTGGGTATGGTGGCTCACGCCTGTAATACTAGCACTCTGGAAGGCCAAGGCAGAAGGATAGTTTGAGCTCAGGAGTTCAAGACCAGCCTGAGCAAGAGCAAGAGTCTATCTCTACTAAAAATAGAAAAATTAGCCAGGCATAGTGGTGCTCACCTGTAGTCCCAGCTACTCAGAGTGCTGAGGCAGGAGGATTACTTGAGCCCAGAAGTTTGAGGTTGCTGTGCTAGGCTGACACCACGCATCTAGCCTGGCAACAGATGAGATGAAAGAAAGAAAGAAAGAAGAAAGAAGAAAAAGAAAGAAAGAAAAGAAAAAAGAAAGAAAGAGAAAGAAAGAGAAGAAAGAAAGAAAGAAAGAGAGAGAAGAGAGAGACGAAGAGGAGAGAGAGAGGAGAGGAGGGAGGAGGGAGGAGGGAGGGAGGAGGAGAGGGAAAGAAGGAAGGAAGGAAGGAAGGAAGGAAGGAAGGAAGGAAGGAAGGAAGGAAGGAAGGAAGGGGAGCCACAGGTTGAGGTCTAATCTCAACAAATCAACAGGTTTTTGTAAAATTAAATAATTTTTTGAAGAGTTAACAAATCTTTGTTGTCTTCTTTGGCAATTAGAACTTGTTTTTTATTTACCTCATTTGTTTATTAAGTTGAAAAGATTCAATGTGCAATACATATGTTTAATGTATATAATGAACTTGTTGCATGGTCAATACAAAAGATGTTTTGATCAAATATAGTTGGGATGATGTCACCAACCAGCTAACTAGGGGGACACTAAATAAATGGTGATCTATGGAAGGTATCTCCAGAGCCCACTGGCCCTATTGATTATGATCAAGTAAGCAGATGCTTGAGAAACCGCCAATGATTTCTGATGTTTCCAATAGGCAAACCCTTTTTAATGCTGAAAAAAGTACCCCTCCCCCAAATTGTAGTCATTCTTTTGTCATCCACTATGCAGATGATACATGGTGCTTGTGCTTATTCCAGGGTCCCTGCTTCCGAGCTAGAGGTGTGGAAGCCAATTTTCTGATGATGGCCTCCCACCCACCCCACCTTCCTGCTTATCACAACATGAACCCCATTACAAATCTATCATAAGCTCTTATGCTAGTAAGGCTTGAGATACTCAAAGCAAAGGCTGATTGACGCATAGCACTTGATTTTCTTACCTCCAATTATATTAATATCTATAACATCTATTGAATAAAATAGAAAAGTATTCCTGACCCAGGTTTTGGCTTCAAAATCATGTTAAACACGGACCCAGATTGATGGTTTATTTATTCCAAAAATATATGTGAAAGACATTTGTGCCTCCTGTATGTAGGTGCTTCCAACAGGTTTTATGATGTTATCTAAGGTGTAGAAAGATTCGAATCTCTACAGACTCTTCAGAAATTCTTCAATGCCCTGTAACCAGACTGTCAGTCAGTATTTCAAGTTGCTTCCTAGAAGGCCGAGCAACCTATAGAATGTCTATTAATGAATAAAAGAACTATGTGTTTAATTCTGCAGCACTACCTCTCTCTCAAATATGTTCCATCCTGCTCATTCTCTCCACTGCGGGAGGCAGGGCCTACAGCAGGGGTAAGGTGAAGATTGTGGACTGGCTCCCAGAGCTCACACCACTGTTCACTGTTTATGTATGGAGTGTCAGTTCTCTCTGTCTCTCTCTCTCTCTCTCTCTCAGTTCTCTCTCTCTCTCTCAACTTTTCAAATGGCACCATAGTGAAATGAATTTGGAGATCTTTCCACCCTGCTGCACACAGCCTCAGTGTACATCTCCCCCTGGGTGTCGGGATGAAGGCTTAGGATTTCTCCCTCAGGCCACATCATCCCTAGCTCTGTGCCATCAAGGTGGGGGCAGGGATTTGCCTGTCTAACCCCCACTCCCCAACATCTCCCTCCCTAATTTAGAAGTGAAAAATCTAGTAGGAATAATTAGAAGAAATAAACAACAATACAAGTAATGACTCATCAAAGTTTAATTCTCAGTGCAAGAGAAGCTATACTGCATTGAATCCCCAAATTATTCTTATGTTTTTGATGTTATAATTGTTGCAGGTAAGCCACTCTATTCACACCATTAGGTACCCCCCCAGCCTCAGTTTTTGGGACCATGTGGGTATAATGGGGCACATGAACAAGCCAGGTGGGCCACTTCTGGTGGGAAACCTTTGTTGTCTCCCCGTTATTATGTGGCTGTGGCCTCACATTGCTGATCATGACAAAACTGTATCAGCTGACTGAAGAGAGGACTATCAAGCAGTACCTCAAGCCAAGCAAAGAGATTATTCAAAACAACTATAAAATCTAAGTGAAGGCAACGGACTAATGGAGCACCATTGCTTTGAGGAGGAAAAATGAGCCACAGCCTACGTCACAGATTTGGTTTAGCTGCGTGTTTGGAAGCCACAGCGCTGGAGGGAAAGCTGTGAGTTTAAGACAATACCCAGCCAACTGCTAATTTTTATGGTAAGTTCAACTGGGAACATTTTTAAATAATATTGTCTGTCCCAATTCCTTTTATGTTAGTGAAGAAAACTCACCGTGACCTGGTAAGCATCTGTGGTGCCATTCAGATATCCTTATAGAAAGATCTGGAAATTACACTTAATTGTTCTCCCCTTCTCCGCACATAATTCAGTCATAATTTTTAATGAGCCATCTCCCTGACTTTTTCTTCTGGCCCCAGGACATCCTTGAAAGAAGTAGCTACAATACATCTCAGAGGAGGCTCCTTGGCATTGACCCAGGGACCAGCATTTCACTTTTCTTTCTTTCTTTTCAAATTCCTTAGGCACAGGGCTGTTCCTTGGGTCCCTGGAGTTTTCACCCCACTGCTGACTGCCGAGGGACCCCAGCCTTGCTCTGTGATCTGGAGAAAGACTCTTCCTGCTGAGATAGAACATCAGGCCACCATGGGCAGGTATTGTGACTGACACAGGGCTTATCCCACAAAACAGACTGAGGAAAGAGTCAGTTGCTGTGGTCTTACCCAGAGTTTCTACATAATCTACTAGAGACCCTCAGCCCATCAGGGCAGGAAATGGAGGTGGGAGGAATGGTACAACATTTTGCCCACTTTAGAGACCCTGACAGAATGCCCAGGGTTACCTTCTCAGCCCAAAGATTCAGGCTGATGAGTTTCTTCAGTTTTGCCTTAACCAGGACTTCCTACTTCTAAAAAAGTGGGGAAGAAAAATACCAAAGACTTCTTGGACACTTTAAGTTCTTACAAAAACAACTGTTTCATGGTTAAGTGCAAGTTAAATAATGGAATATGTGGATTAATTTTCCTTAAAATACACAGGGGTTTTACAATTAAGTGGAAAATTCTGCAAAAAAATAAAAAGGCATTTTGAATTTGGGTTTTTGCCATAGTCCAAATATTTGAAACAGAGAAATGTCTCAAAACATAGTTTAAAGCTTCCAAGAAACTCAAAACAGGACTTGATTCTGGAATCCTGGTGTTAATTCGGCTTTACTACTCTTTAGAGTGTGGTACTGAAGCAACACTCAAGAGTCTTGCTCTAATTCATTATGTAGTTTAATTAATCATGCATTAAGTTAACAAACCTTTACCAGTCACCTACTATGGCTCAGGCACCATGCTAAGCTTTTTCTGTACAGATCTGTGAGGTGACATTGCATTCTAACAATGTATTGGTATTGGAACTAGCTCTCAAAGCTGAATCCCAAAAATGTGCATTAAATACTGCACTAAATTCCAGAGGGTAGGGATTGTGTTGTTTTGAGAAGCCTTCAACATATGTAGAAAATATCTACCACCTCTCCAAAGAAAGCATTAGGTTAGAGGTAATAACTAAGGAAATAACTAACTGCCTTTTGCTTGCTTCTTAACTGTATTTGCCCATGTGAGTTCTGGCAAGTGAGCACCACTCAGAAAACTTTTCAAGATAGTGGTTGGTACTCAACTGCAGGGAGCATGGTGAACTGATACTTTCCAGCTGTAGGCTTCATTAGGATGGGTCTCAGTGTTGAAGCCAAGGTCACACTTTATTCTGGGGTCCCGTGGCCAATAGCTGAGCAAGGCTATGATACAAGGGCCTGCACCAGTGAGCCAAAGGCCAATGTGGGACTCTTCCAATGGGCAATCTTTGCTCCAGAGCTCCCGGTTGCAAGATCAGCACTGATTTGTCAGGCCTACAGCACAGTCTGATGGATCCCCCTGCCCACTCCTGCTTCTCCCTGTCCTTTTCGAGTTGGCTGCTTGGAGAACCCAATCTGTAGCACTTCCTGACAACAAACGTTTTGTTGTCAAATATTGTTTGTTTTGTTGTCAAAAATAATATTTAACCTCAAAAAACTCATAAAACTGTTCTCATTAAGGAAAATGTCACTGCCTACACTGTAAATACTACTTTTCTATGTTGGAAAGTGAACAATAGATATCTAGGTATCTGCAATTTGATGGGTTTCTTTTTTTAAAATTTCTCTGATGTGGAAATTTCAGGGCAAGCATTGTTTTTGGAATTCAACACTAAAATAAACTGACAATGACCACATGGGTACCTTAATAGAATATAAGAATCAAATAAACCTCTCTACTATTTGTCCACATATTATGGTTTACAGGACAGAGAAAGGAAAGGGAAAGGGTGTCAGGTGGAGAGAGAGAGGGACAGAGAGGGAGCACACTGGTGGCCAGGAACAGAAGTAACACATTTTTCTTTTGAATTCAATGATAGCTCAGGCCTATTATTTTCCCTTGCTTGTCATAATTTCTTAAAGTAAAAAATCTGTGCCCTAACTATAAAATGTAACAGAAGAATCGAACCTTTTGGCCCCCCTGGGATAGGTATTCTATACAGGTAAGGTGTTTTATTTAATCATTAAACATGAAATTAGGCCGTTTTAAATTGTCCTTTAATACCACCTTGAAGGCATGAAACATATACTGATCATATTTATGCAATTTTGTCCTTGTCATTTGAATTCTTCAGGTATAATAGCAGTTTGTAAAAGACTGGTTGATAACATTACCCACAGCACTTGCTTATCCAACTGCAAATGACAAAGACAATAAGTAACTGACATCCTCTTTCTTATTTGCTCTTCAATTTCCCATATATCAATGATTCTTCTCAACCTTTGCACATTAGAATCAACTTCAGGGGCAAGCAGGCATCTTTTAAAAATATAGGTGCTTGAAAAAGACTTAATTTAACTTTTTTCCATAAATATATACAAATGGTCAACAAACACATGAGAAAATATTCAACAACACTAGTAATTGGGGAAATGCAAATCAAAACGATTGTGAACCATCACTTCACACCCACTAGGATATCATAATTTTAAAAAATAGACAATAAATGTCGCCAAGGATGTGGGGAAAGTGGAGGCCTTGTGTATTGCTGGTAGGAATGTAAAACAGTTCAGCACTGTGGAAAACAGTTTGCCAGTTCCTCAAAAAGTTAACCGTAGAATTATCGGAAGACTCAACAATTCTACTACTAGGTATATGCTCAAGAGAATTAAAAACAGGTACTCAAACATATACAAGTACGGACATGTTCATAGAAGCACTGCTCACAATAACCAGAAGGTGGAAATAGCCCGAATGTTCATCGGCAGATGAATGGATAAATAAATTATGGTGTATCCATAGAATGGAATACTATTCAGCCATAAAAAAGAATGGAGTACTAATATATGATACCACATGATGAACCTTGAAAACATTATGTAAGTGAAAGAAGTTGGACACAAAAAGTCACATATTATATGATTCTATTTATACAAAATATCCAGAATAGGTAAAACCACAGAGACAAAACACATACTAGAGGTTGCCAGGGGCTAGGGGAAGGAGGATTATGGGGAACACCTGTTTAACACATTGACTGCCACACTAGAAAAAAATTTTTTGCCTTGAGGCCATGGTGTTTTATTATGAAAATAAGATTAAAACTTCAAAAACAAAGCAATTCTTTCTAATTTAATTTTAAAAATTCTTATTTTTTATTATTCTCTTTGCATGAGTTATATGCAATTTGAAAAATGGTTCACTTGGCTCAAGGTAAAGAGACATGAGAGTCACATATGCTTCATGAGGCCCAGGCTCAAAATTAGTATGAGTTAAATACAACTCATGTGACAATTAATGTATTAATCAGTACAGGGCTTTCTTTTGGGGTGATGAAAATGTTTAAGAACTAAATAGAGGTGGTAGTTGCTCAACATTATGAATGTACTAAAATAAATGCCAACCTTCACTTCAAAATCATTAAGTTTATGTTGTGTGAATTTCACCTCAATAAAAACAAAGGAAGGGCATTAAGAAAACATATATGGCTGCCTGGTTCCTTCCCTAGATGGAAAATAAAAATTTTATAGAGTTCAAGGTTCAGTAATTTTAAAAATTCTCCTGTTGATTTTACTCAGCAAGGGTTGAATTGGGCCTATGGTTGTATCTTTATTAAGATGATTAGCTAGATATTTGAAGTTTTAATAATTTAGATTTTGAAAATTAATTTTTCGTCACTTACTTAAAAAATAACTGAACATCTACAATGTGCATCTCATTGCCTAGTACTTTGCACAGGTATTTAAAAAGAAGGAAAGATTAAGAGAAAGCTACTTTTTATTGAAAACCCTTATTAAGCACAAGAGCTTTATCGAATACTATCTCAATGACTCTCACAATAGCTCTGGGAGGTAGATATTAGGCTCTCTTTGCTGATCAGAAAAAGGAGGCTCAGAGAAGTTGTTTGACTTTACTAGGGCCAACCACCCGTTAAAGGGCAACCCAGGGACCATATTCAGTTCCTAAGTACATAACTAGCATCCTGAGGTTCCTGACATGGAGGTGGAATCAGACAAGTCCACATGAACTACAGGTGAAAGCAAAAGTTCTGGAAGAAGATAGGCCTGGATTAAAACCCAAGATCTGCCACTTATTCATCAGCCATATGACAGGAGCTAGGCTAAATAACCCAGATTTCCTTATCTGTACAATGGAATAATTCCTACCTCCTTAGTCATTGCAAGGATTAGATGAGATAGTATCTGCAAAGTACTTGGCATAGTACACACCGCATATAAGCACTCAACAAATTGTACCTCCTATTAATTTTTTTAATTTAATTTTTAATAATAATGCTACCAGTAATATCAAAGGAAGGATGAGCTCTGACCCACTAGCCATCCCTTTTCATAATGAGCAGTAAATGTCGAAAGAACTGGACCCTTAACCATCGCATTTATTTTCCTCAGGGCAGCCTAATACTATTGTTCTGTCCTATTGTTCTATCCAAATGCTAATTTCTGAGAGACTTTTAAAAATTTAAACAGCAGAATTTACTGGCACAAGTTGATCATAAATTCAACAGACATAGGAACTACAGAAATGCATCTATTTTAGGGATAAATAAGCTAATTCTAGCCTAATTTTGTTCATTCTTATAAGCACACTTTTTTATAATGTGAACAGATGAATTTTACTGTAGGACTCAAATTTTATTTTCTTATTAAAGTTTTTTTTTTTTTTTTGAGATGTGCTAAAGGACACATTCCAAGAAGCAAGAGTGTAATTATAGATTTAGCATCTCCTGTATGGCCTGACAGAAGTCTACCATCACTTAGGAAGCCATTACAGCATATACTTAATGTCAGCTTGATAGAAAAAAACACTTTCATAGGTTCTCTTTGATTGACACATTTGAAATAACATCAGTTTCCAGCTTTAAAACCTACTGTTATTAGGTCTCTGTTGCTATTTATGTTAGAAATATGTGCACGTGTGTCAAAACAATATATCAACTTTGCTGATTGGCTGCATCTAGATTCTGTTGCCAAGGGTAACAGAACAATTGCTTTTAATCTTTCCTAAATTGCTTCTTTTTTTTTTTTTTTTAATACTTGGGGTTTTCAGGGAATTTTTTTCACCCCAGAGCAAAAATA